CTACTTACAAAACCCCACTGTAGAGAACAGACCAGCCGACCTCGAGTCCAGAAACAAATATAACGAAGCGGTTCGCAATGCCAAAAACCAGCGTGATATAAAAGTTAGGCACAGGGTAATGTCGCAGCGCAATGGCAGTCGGTCTTTCTGGACGCTGGCCAAGCAGATTGAAAAGAACTTCTCACACAGTAGCCTTCCACCACTTACGTGTCAGGATGGAACTATTGTATTCGACTCGAAGGCCAAGGCGGAAGTGCTAGCCAAGATCTTTGCTGCCAACTCCACCATGGACGTCCCCACCAACGCCCAAGTGCCGTCAATTCAAAGGGTTCCCCACACTATGCGGGAGGTAACATTCAGGCATAAGACCGTAAGACGAGTGCTCTTGTCGCTCAACATCAACAAAGCTTCTGGTCCGGACTTGATTGCTGCCATTGTACTGAAGAAATGTGCAGCGGAGCTTGCTCCAGTTCTTTCGCGTCTCTTCCAGATATCTTATGAATCCGGCACCTTCCCAGAAAACTGGAAATTTGCTCATGTACAGCCCATCCCAAAAAAAGGATCTAAAACCGACCCTTACAACTACAGGCCTATAGCTCTGCTTTCTGTCATAAGTAAAGTGATGGAGAGGTGCATAAATCGCGAGCTTCTGGACTACCTCGAACGTCACAGCTTGATTAGCGACAGGCAGTACGGTTTCCGGCACCAACGATCCACAGGGGACCTCCTAGCTTACGTCACGCAACTGTGGAGTAAACTCATCCAGTCTCATGGTGAGGCTCATGCCGTTGCTCTTGACATCACGAAAGCGTTCGATCAGCTGTGGCACGCTGCCCTCTTAAGCAAACTTCCATCCTATGGCCTCCCAGAAAAGCTTTGCAGATGGGTGGCTGACTTTATCTCTGGCCGCAAGATATCCGTCGTAATTGACGGATTCTCCTCTTCATCCCACAACGTCAACGCGGGTGTTCCCCAGGGATCGGTCTTGGCTCCAACACTGTTTCTCTTACATATCAACGACCTCCTTTCCTGCACGATCAACCCAATCCACAGCTTCGCTGATGACAGCACTCTACATGCAGGAATTCGGAGTGACAAGCCGATCTCTGCCGCTGAGCTGGAAAAAAGAAGACTAGCGACGACTTCCTCTCTGACAAGAGACCTGGAGGCTATCACTGCTTGGGGACGCAACAATCTTGTACAGTTCAATGCTTCCAAAACACAGTACTGTACTTTGACGAACAAAAATCGTCCTAGCGCTCATACAGTTTCGATGGACGGTCGAGTTCTACCAAAGAGCCATTCATTTCGGCTGGTCGGAGTCCAGATCACCGAGGACCTGATCTGGCACGAACACATCTCTTCAATAGCTGCAGCTGCTGGGAAAAAGCTAGGCTATTTGTTTAGGGCTGAAAAGTACTTTTCTCCGCATGACATTCTCACTCTATACAAGGCCCAGATAAGGCGTAGCCTCGAGTATTGCTCACACATTTGGGGTGCTGCCGCCCCGACTACATTGTCCATGCTCGATGCTGTCCAGAGGAGGGCGGTCCGACTGATCGATGACTCTTCTCTAACAGACAGTCTCGGGACTCTTTCGCACCGGCGGGTCGTCGGTGATCTAGCTCTTTTCTATCGCTACACCAACGGGCTTTGCTCCTCAGAGCTCTCTTCCATGATGCCGCCGCGCGATGTGCCTGCCAGACAGACCCGCCTGACTTCGGCGTCCCATCCTAACCGTGTCAAACTTCGTACATCCAGAACTGGCCGATACGACCGCTCCTTTGTCCCGAGGGTGTCTAGATTGTGGAACAATCTACGGGAGGAAGCTTTTCCCAGTTCTACTAACCTTAGGCAGTTCAAAAATCGTATCAACAAAATTTCTTTGGGATCATCATAGCAGCCGCGGTGTTCCGGCATTTAGGCTTCAGCCTGCGCGGCTGTTTCCATATAAAAAAAAAAAAACGTATTCCACTTATCTTCCGATTGGAAAGGAACAGGACGTTTCAAAGCTGTTTGCACTAAGGTCGAACAGGTTACAAACCTGTTCTCAAATGGAATTACTAAAGAACACCAAACTTATTGCAATATCCAGAAGAAGGCCTTAAGATTTAACTGCTATATAACGTAAATCGTTACAGTTAAATCACATTTTTTACTTAGCTCGAAGTTTTTGATAAACCGTTGACTGCAGAAATTTGATCAGAATTGGGTATTTCCATTTTCGCAGTTATAGTTCTTCTAGACATTCGGCAAACTACGTTTTCCAGGGCAACACACAGTGGTCCAGAACACCGAAAATACAATTTCTAATGAATGTATACAATTGGCAGTACAATAGTGCTTTTGGGTCGCTGATTACAAATCTGGGGTTAGTTTGTCCCCATGCGGGCACTTGTAGGTCACTTCAAAGTCATATCAAGGACATTTAAAAGTTGAGCCAAGCCTCATGTCATTTTGCTTTTTCAGGTTAGTAAGTCCAGATCGGAGGCCAATTAGTCATCATGAGGAGTCTAGCATTTAAGTCCGGACGCATGTCAAAAAAGTGCAGGCGCTGGTTACTTTTTTAAAGGCAATTAAGCTTTAGTCAACATGTCTACAACTACCTAACAACCTACCAAATATGGGAGAATGTGAAAAATATATAAATCCTGGATTTCACTTGGCCATTTATGTGTGCAACAATGAGAATCTATTTTAGGCATAATACACATGCCAGTCAAATTGTTGGCGTAAATATATTTTTTGGAGAAATACTAGATTTAGATGCTTTCAAGATATCCGGGTTTATATATGAATATGAACTACTTTCTTGCAATTCACTTGAAAAATGTTCGTAAAGCAGGAAAAGCGAAGAAAAGGGCGCACGATAGCAACAGTGCACAGGTCAGATTTGAGCTTTTGGTGGCTTTAGAACACAATATTCCTGGGTGTGTTCTATCTACGGTACGAAACTTCAGATATCAATTTGTTAGGTTGTTTTAAGAAAAAAAACTTCCTATGAACATATTTACGGAGTTGGTTCAATTCTGAGATACAGTGGTATCTCATTGGCGTATTGGTAATGTAAGACCATATCCAATGACATAGTGCATCGTCGACACCAGTCTCAGCAAGCCTTTCAACCAGCAATTCATGATTTATTTTATCAAAAGCCTTGCTGAAGTCGGTGTATATGCAATCGACTTGACTCTTGCTATCTAGGGCTTCACAAATGTAATCAGTGTAACACAAAAGATTGAATTCTAGGGAACGGTTTGATAAAAATCCGTGCTGTTCGTCGATTATTATGTTTTTTACTGATGGAATTATTAGGTTGTAAACAACTTTTTCGAGCAACTTTGCAAAAGTGCACAGACCACTGATAGGTCTGTAATTAGTTATTAATTGTTTATTTTTGAATATCGGAAGTATATGTGCAACCTTCCATCTAGTAGGAAAATATCTTAGTTTTAGACTTGCGTTAAATATAATCTGTAAAGGTACACATATACGTTCCGAACATCTTTTAATGAAAATGGGAGGGATGTTGTCGGGTCCTGAACCTTTGTTCTCGTCAATATTACAAATGAGATTTTTACTGTCTCTAAAGGCAATGAGTATGAAATGCTATGATTTCCCTTCACTTTTGGAGGAACTAACTTTTTAGGTTCAACAAAAACGCTGGAAAAAAATTCCGAGAATAAGTTGCACACATTTTCACCATCACGAGCAATTTTATCTTTATAGTAAACTGTGCTGGGTATAGATTCGTGATTTTTCTTTTTGCTGGCAACATATTTCCAAAATTTTTTGCTGTTTATAACTATTTCTTCTTCAATGTTTTTCACATAGTCTCTGAAATCCTTAGCTATCATTTGTTTTGACTGTTTCCTTAATGCACAGAATTCCTGAAAGTAGCGAGGTTCTTTATAAGATCTGTATTTTTTATGAAATTTGTTTTTTTTTTGATCTTCTTGATCGTATCGTGCTTAAAATAAGAGGGAAAGTTCCCTCTTAGTTTAAATGTAGGTACGTAAGAGGCTATTGCCGAGTTTAGTTTTTCATAAAAAATATCAACCATTTTGTCCAAGCTATCGACATCGAACAACTTGACCCAGTTTATATTGTTAAAAAATGAATTTATAGCTTCGTAGTCTGCTTTTTTAAAGTTGTGATTAATACGGTTCTCTTGAGATAACAAGCTGAGTCTTTTGTTGGAATAAAAATCCCCATTAAAAAGGTCAGGAGTCGTTAAATCCAGTAACCTTGGTGACCAGTTCACATCACCAAACCGAGAAATTAAACGTCTATTTCACGAACTCTCTCGGAGTTCGAACAGTTGGCAAGTCTTTAACGTGATCTGTTTGTTCAAATTTCCGCACCAACTGACGAATGGTGTTGATCCTAGGCACATTATTTCGACCGAAATCTTGCCGTTGCTTCCGAATCGTTGCAACAACCCACTCATTATTTAAGCAAGCAAAACGCTTTAACAATACGGACGCGTTGTGGGATCGTGTAGCGCTCCATGATGAATTGGACACATGTGCTTTAACAACTACCATAACCCCACCTACTGATATGCGTCTATCAAAAATGGCGCGCAATTTAAATCAGTCAGTGACATATTAGTCACCCTGTATTATTTATATGCTTTTATATCTTCACTGCGAAACTGATTACAGTTACACAAAAAATACCTGTTATAGAGAAGTAAGCTTCCTTTAGGGCCTGGCTTGGAATAGCCCATTATTGCCTTAACAGTTAAGAATGCGAGAAGGGTCATCAAAAACTTTTCTAAAGAAAGAGGGTGATCCTTTCCAATCTGAAGCTACCTTTTACACTAACGTTACTGTCAAGGCTACCTTATTTCAACTGTCCAGACAAAATGAGGCGTCATGAGATTAAGCTTTTTTTGAAAATAAACTACTTGGAAAATAGGTATATGTAACAAGATCACTTTCTCAACTTAGTGCATTACAGCCAAAAAATTTGGGTTATAAATAACTCTGAAACGATATAGAACAAATATCAATATATTATGGCATATACAACAATCATGTAGTTTTCTAATAGAATCAATCACAAAACGGTTTTTATTATCATATACAACTTACAAGTCAGAATAAGACAAATATTTGTTGTTAATTGTCTTATAGATAGTTTTAGCTTCTCCCCAAGTCTTCGGAGTTGTGTTAAAGTTCTTGAAATCGAGGTTTTTCAAAGATGATGACTGGACAGACCCTATCGGTCCAGTGGAACCTGTAAAAATAGTTTTTATTATACCTTTGAAGACTAATGGCTGATCGCTGATCAGGTGAAACATTCTATATTCATGAGCCTATTGGGAACATATCAAGTTACATGCACCTTAGTCCAACGTTTAACTGTTTTTGAGTTATGTGCAGGTTTTTGAAACCCTGGGGAAACCCGAAATCATGCGATAAATTATCACTTCAGTATTAAAGAGCAGATTATTTATTCTGTTATTTTCCCGATTTATCCTATTACATGATCTCCCTTTGTGAATATTTGTTAAGCTACCCAAACATGTGTACAGTGCATCGTCGTTTCTAGAGAAAAACTATGTGAATCAAAATCAATGAAAATACTTCCTCCAATTTCATATGATTTATTATCGTCATAATATAGTAAAGCAAGCAGGATGCCACTGAAATTAGATGACATAACTCACATTTAGATGATTCGTACGTTAACACGACATCAAGAGGTGGCTCAGCACCAGCCAATTTGAGCCTCATGCTAAACTAAACATTTATGATCATGTTCTACTGTGAACAAGAGTTGCTCCATCTCTTAGCATAGAGTGATGTTAACAGATAACAGTCCTGCGGTTAGCTACTCACGATTTTGACATTACCAAGTTCAATGACATTTAAGCTCTAATGTCGTTGAAATATAATTTAGATTTAGAATGTCATTTCATTGGACTGACTCTCACTGACGAAAATGACATAATCTACTAAAGCAGATAGTGCTAAGATTCAGCTGCTGAGTGCTACTGAACTCCTTTGTTGATACAAGGTTAAAGGTTTTTGAGTTTAGTACCATTTGACCTCTGCGATGAAAGTTATTGATAGTTAAATCGTGAGTTAATTGTCCTTGACTTTAGGATATCTGACGCCTAACTCCAGAAACATTGACCTTTGGCTTCAGAATACTGACATTTGAACTCAACATCGCAGATCCTCAATCCTCCTAGATTCAATATCGTTTCACTTTGCAGTAGGTGGCATTTGACTTTCGGACCATTGACCTATGATTATTAACATTCAGAATCTTTGACATTCCATCTCAAGTTCGATGGCATGTACTTTGTGGTAAGTACCAGAACTTGAGGTTAATTACACATTACATTTGACTTCGGAATCATTGACCGGGATAGGTCATCCTGGCCTTTAAGGTCAACGATGGTGGATAGTTAGATAGTTAGAAACTACCTGGATAACAATAGCGGTGCTACGTATTCCACATAAAGTTCGAGAATGAGGGTAGCTCTCTGATTGGCAGTTTGAATTTCATGCTGCCAGGTGTGGCTTCTCCTATGAACGAACTATTTTCGGACATCAATATACAGGGAAAACCAAATTTGTCTGACGGCTTGAGTTTAATGTGTACGAGAGAGAAACCCGATAAGTTGGTATGCCAGAAAGAGATAGAAGCCCGCTGGTCAGCGAAGGCTACCACCACATTGAGGTCCTGGAATGAATTCAGATCAATCTTCGCAGAGGCTTCTACAATAGGTTAGATTACTGTGAAACTCAAGAAGGATGTCTGTTCGAACATTTAATTTAATATTTTGTTTTCATTTAGCTTAGAATTATTAGTTATTTCAATTTTGATGCAACTCAGTGTTTTAATATACACCTTGCCTTGGAATGTACAAGATGCGATGTTGTCAAATGAAAGATTGACGCAATGTTGCAGAATTTGTGATGCAATCTGACCTTTCATTTCGACCTAAGATAGAGCGCCGTTATGACCGATTCGGAATCGATCCTAAACATCCGGCTTCTATCTCTTTCTAATACATGTGCGTATATACACTTCTCTCTCGTACACATTGAACTGGAGCCATCAGACAGATTTGGTTTTCAGTATATATACAGAAGTAATCTAACATAGGAGCCATGAGTAGCCACATTATTGGCAACACAAACGTGACGTCTAGGCAACACTCACAGCGACTACAAGTGAATGATAGCTAGTAGCATTGATTGACGTATTCTACCTGAAAATTATATTCGCGCACCGAATAATTATCTTATATATAATGAGATATCGTCGCGTCATCTATGGGAATTTGTCACAGCTTTGTTTGTCCTCTCAACAATAATTGAAAAACTACTTTGAAAAGGTTAGTGTCTTATAGATGGCGTTGTAGCTATGTAGCTTTGATTCAATTTTCTGTAATTCTACATTCTCACTGCTCTAAAATGTCAGAGGTTATTAACAATTTTCCCTGTCTATAGTCTCATATTTCTTTTTGAAATCCACGAATACTGTCTTCCACCACCATTTGGATTGCTGTTTCTTCTCGGATCGTCGGCTGAACAAATTTGGGAAGTTAGCTTGATCAAACTATATTTCATTATTTAATCCACACCTTCACGACTCCAGACTCTCGAGTTTGCGAGCTCATTTGGAAAACGCCTCGCTATTGCAAAAACCCATCGAACTAGGAAGAACTATTTTAAATAATGTATACGCTATCTGTCGATAACTTGAACACTATTTGTAAGCGAAGGCCATGCATCAGGATCAACTAGGAAACAGAGCAACAAAGTTACTTGCCATTGTTGTACAAAAAAATCGTGTAAGAGATGGACGTTGTACGTGCTACATAGTTTAATGTTTTCCAAATTCCCTGAGAGCTTTTTATGCAAACGCTTTTACATAGTGTTCAGGCAGCAGCGGTATCCGCAGTAGTAGACACTTCGGTCTCCTGATCAGTCGCCGTGCGCTGTGCGGGTTCGAGTCTCGTCCCAGGAGAAATTTTTCCGGCGGATCTCGTAGGCGAAGCCAGAATGTGTGCATGTTGCATGCACACGTGTTTCCTCGCCAGAGTCCGTGTGGCGTCTCCCCTTTCCCCTGTATCCCCCTATAGCCCCACGGTACCCAATGGGTGTTTAGGCCTTAGGCCTGCGTGGTAGTTGGAGTATAAAAAAAAAAGGTCAATAGACATCTTCTGGGGCTAATAGAATACATACATAGTCATGCCATAAGTTCTGTCCCTCGTTTTCAAACAAGTGTAGACCTGTTAATACTTGTCCGATTGTTTACATTCTGGTGTCAGTTGATTAAGCGCTTTTCGGGTAATTACATATACCTCAGTTTGTATTGATCTCTCGAAGCATAACGATGGAGTGGGGCAAGGCAGAGAACCGTATTGCAGTGATAGCTTTACATAAGTGTAATCACAGTGCTAGTCAGATTTTTGAACTCTTACGCGGCCTTCAAATATCGCGTAAATTTGTGTCTAGGACCATTCAGCGGTACAATGAGACGTCCTCTGTTGATGACAGGCCAAGAAGCGGAAGACCTCGTCAAGTAAGGACTCCAGCAGCCATCAAAGCCGTAAAAGCCAGGATTCAAAGGAATCCACTCCGGAAGCAGAAGATCCTATCCAGGGAAATGAAGATTCCTGTCCGGACGATGTCGCGCATCATTAAACAAGACCTAGGGCTAGGGGCTTACCGGAGACGTACGGGCCAGCGACTTACGGCCACCTTGCGACACATCAGGGCGACAAGATCCAAGAAGCTCTTGGAGAGGTACGCAGCTGGGGGATTCCGAAAGATTTTGTTCACGGATGAGAAAATCTTCACCATAGAAGAAAAATTCAACCGACAAAATGACAAAGTGTATGCAAGGAGTTCACAGGAAGCTTCGGAGATCATTCCGAGAGTTGAGAGAGGCCACCACCCTGCGTCAGTCATGGTTTGGTGGGGGGTGTCCTACGAAGGGGTCACTCAGCTCCATTTCTGTAAACAGGGCGTGAAAACAAAAGCGGCAAACTATCAGAGCGACATACTGGATCCTATCGTCAAGCCTTTAAGTGGTACATTGTTTGCCAACCAACACTGGGTCTACCAGCAGGATTCCGCCCCCGCTCACAAGGCTAAGAGTACGCAGCGCTGGCTGGAAAGCAATGTGCCAGAGTTCATTGCTGCGGAAGATTGGCCCTCAGGGAGTCCGGACCTCAATCCTTTAGACTACAAGTTGTGGGACCTGCTAGAGCAGTTGGCCTGCTCCAAAGCCCACCGTAATATCGAGTCCCTGAAAGCGGATTTGATCCGATCAGCGGCAGCTATTCCTTTGGAAGCTGTGCGTGCAGTGATAGATGAGTGGCCCGCGAGATTGAAGCAGTGTGTGAAGGCCAAGGGGGGACATTTTGAATAAAACTGTTTGATTATGAATTCTAAAAATGTTGTCGAATAAATAATATCTTTCATATAAATATATCTTATCTTGTTTCATTTTTATCATGAGATTATCATGGGACAGAACTTATGGCACGACTACGTATAGACGACAAAGCTCACAAAAGGGTGAATTCGGAAGTATGGTTTCGAATCTGAACGAATATTATAGGCAGCAAGTAACCTCCATCACATTTCCATTTCACTTGATTTGGTTTACTTCGCTACACTACACAATAATGTGAGGCTGCGGAACAATAAAGCTGCACGACTAGTGATGTAAGACTGTAGCGAGGTTAGCAAGAAACCTCCGATTAGTTGATTGAATCTAGACGATCCATTCTCGGAGCTTCTATATCTCGAAAGAGCGAATGTAAAGGGACAAGAGACAAAAGCATTGAATCGTATGCAATATGTTGTCCCAACTGGGATAGAAAAGTCCATCGTATACACGTGGACATATTTAGAATATTCAACGGTATAGCGCCATAGGACTTCTCTTCACACAGCGTACAATTAGTGCAACAATAAACCAATTTTCCTGGTAACACCTACGTGTTTATACCAAAGCTTCGAGATAATTAAGCTATTAGGTTCAAAAAATATAAATGAACCATCTAGGCTGAAAAGGTATGACGTCTGTCAGTACCAAATCAAGTACTACCTGTTTATCTACATATGGGATTTAAAAACCAATAGCAATAACGGAGTTATCGATTTGATGTTGTTTACGATGAGTGTAATCAATATTCTATTGATAGTTCGTGAGTCTATTCAGAGCGTATTACGCCAGGGGTATTACGTATCTTTAAAAGTGGC